AAAACCCAACCATTCTAAAAAGCTTATGTCGATTCCATAAAGCATCTGAATATTTTAACCAGAGCACTATTAATAACAAGCTTCATATCCTAATCACAATCTTTTATACATCAAATTTTTTAAAAAACATACAGATACCCCAGGTTTACAATATTTTGGAGATAATATAAAAATACAATACAAGTCCAATTAGCGCAAATGAGGCTGAGGGTATCAATAATCGGCGCTGAATGCGCCCAGCATAGGTTTGAATCCGTTTTACTCTGTTGACAATGGAATATCTAAAAAAAAAGTAGGGAACAAGGTCGACCACATAGATTAATAATAGAGATAAGTGTATGAGTTCAAAATGATGACAAACGATTTGAATAGGTGAAATAAATGGGCATGGATGTTTTAAAGCCGAACGCAGCCGGCCAAGTGGAAGAGAATGGAAGTAATTAAAGATCGTTTCAGTCAAAGAGAAGGAATTCATATTAACTAACAAAAGAGTAGAAAAAAGGTGTGGAAAAACAATAATCGCTTATAAGACCTACATACATGAATAAATAATGATGATAAGCGGTATGCTGCCTATCTAAATTAGAGACCGTGAAGATCATAAGTCTGTTACATAAGGACATGCATTATTCGCAAGTAAAGAGGATTCGCGTTCACGAGAATAAATGATGATAGGCGGCTTTATTGCACAATGATGATAGCAAATGCAAAATGTGGACAGGAAAAGTACATAAAATAGCAATAGAATTGAAATTATGTCGATACAAGGAGGGAAAGTGTGTAAGCCGGATGCGTTTAAGAGAGCTAGGTAGCTAGGATGTTCATGCAGATAAGTAAGTGTGCAGGAATCTCCACAGCGTGAATGACGTATATGGAAATTAGTAAGGCTTTGCGAGAGAAGTTAGGACAAGTTGAATGCATAGTCAGCGACAAGATTAATTGAAGTCGTTAGCTGATCGTTGTGCCAAAATAGCGGTCACCAAAGTTACCCACTCCTGGTACGATATGGTAGTCGTCCGTGAGGCCATTATCAACAGCGGTAGTTACGATATGTGCCTGAATAACGATGATAGATGAAGTAGAAAAATACTTTTAAACATTTTTAAAAGTTGATCGGAAATTTTAGGTGACTGAGCAATCCATGTGCGAAAAAAATACCGGAATTCACAGAAATTTAGAGACAGCAGATGGTAATAAAGCTCATGGATGAAGCATACATCTAAAAGGCGTTTGGGTCCTGAAGCCGCAAGCAAAAGTTGCTACGATCACCCGGAATCTAACATTGAACGTAATCTAGCAATTTTTCTCGGACATCTCTAGAACGAAAGACAGATTTACTCTCAAAATTTATTAACCGGTTAAGGTTTCTGAAAGGGAGTGGGTTGCATCAGAAGTGGGTTGTAGACTGTACAATGATGAAAATAATTAAAAAATAGTGATGAAAGGCGTAGTACCAAGAAAAATTCTGCCAAAATTCATTAAAAAAATTTGAGATGTGGCTAACCTGTGGATATGTATAGGCCACCGAGTAGACGCCTTGTGGAGCCATGATAAGAGAAGCAAGGATTATGCGATCTTCAGGAACATCATGTTCCACCAGCACCCTAATTGCCATTATTGCAGCAGCCCCTGTGGCCACAGTTGAATCCATAATGATAACATATGAATCCTGATTACCAATTAGAATAGGAATTAAAAAATGAAGACAAAGAAAGTGAAAATGATTGAGTCATCAGATAAATTAAGGGAAGCTACTGTGAAGTAAGAGAGATTATAATGACAAAGAATAAAACTGATAAAGACAAGCCCAGACTACTGGAATAAAACATATCCCAGCTTCCCAAAAGGTAGTCTCATCCAGATTTGAAAGCAGTTTCGACCTTGCATATGTCTCATCAGCACCACCATCGAGCTGAGTGATTAACGTGTCGAAACGATCTACAGATACCAAAACTTTTCGAGATTTATTACTTTACACTAAGACCAAGAAAGCGCTGGGCAGGCAAATGAACGACACTCAGTTCTTGAAATTATGCTAATCACATAGAATTATTCCCAAATTTGGTATAAACCGAATATTCCTATAGGAAATACTAAGCAAGTTCTTCTGAGAGTATCTCACAAATTAGTTGTTTTTAGAATTTAAGAAAATACTATAAAATAACATTATTTGATTTAGAGGAAAACCAGATTACGGCAAACAGTCTGAAAATCTTAGTTCAGATGACTTCTCTAAGTTGCAAACAATTGCGGATGAGTTATATCACAGAATAAACCATAATAAAAAGCATAGGAATTTAGGTATAATAATTAAGACGGAGAGTTATCCGGGGGACAT